AATATGTCAAATTTTTTGTCAATAATATAAAAGGACCTAGATTTTAACATATAATTTTTTAAGAATTTTTGATTATGTAAATTATTGATATATGGATCATTTTTTAATAATTTTCAAGTTAAAAAAATCCGTGAAAAAAATAATCTCTAAAATTTGACTCTCATCCAAATTTTGTTCTAGCAATTACAAAAACCCGAAAAAATTTAGAGGATCAAGAATTGTGATAAACTATTTGTCCTAACATTTTTAAAACAATTGGCTTAGATTTGAATTTTTAAAGAGGGGTCTGATACTTATGCTTACTACTGTACATATATCTTTTCAAGTTAATATTAAATAAAAAATAATAAAGGTGCCATTATTTTAAAAATAATAATTATCTATATTATACTTACAATATTAAAATAATATAACAAGCAATTACAATATATTAAAAGCATATATAATTGGATTTTTATAGATTTTAATAAATTGACCTATTGATACTATTTATAAATTCATTTTCTTATATATCAAACAAAAAAAAATTTAATGTTATTTTAAACAATGGAAAAATGTATAAAAGAATTAATTGACTAATAGTTTTTGAAGTAGTAACATGCTTGATCACAATATATACACAATTCATTATTTAAATCTTAATAATTTCATTATAATAATTTTTTTTTCTTTATCAAAAATTAAAAAGTATTTTGTTTTTTCTATAGTAGATAGTTCCTTCTTATCTCTAATATATTTATTACAAGGTAATAGGTTGACATGTATAACATTTCAGTATTTTAATATTAACCATGTAACATGATAAATTTTTACTTTTTAAAAAAAAGATCATGAGAACATTAAAAAAAAAAATCTATCAATTAGATTTATTATAATTTAGTTATTGAACCTTCAATATTTAATAACTTAATTTTTTTTTTATAATGCGGTCAAATCTAGATATAACGAACTTGTTTATAACGAAGCTATAATAAAATTCTGGTTAAAACTAATTTGTGAATTTGGAATTTACTCAAAATTTATTATAAAAAAGGTGTTTTATTATGACTTTTTAAATAATTTTTTTTGATTTTTACTAATTGGCCAAAGGCTTCGTTGTATCCAAGTTTGACTTATATAGTTAAATTTTGCAAAATAAATATACGTATACTACATATATATCTATTACAAAACTTTTTCAATACATTTTTAATTAAAGATCCAATTTAATAAATTTTCTAGATTGCTAAATTGAAATGTTGAAGTAAAATATGCTATTTACCAGTTACATCCATAATACTTGATCAATGAAAATTATGTTCTTTCTTCTATCAGTACGTTTACCATACGAGAAATTTCTGTAACTGTGTTCATTATTTTTTTTCGTTGTTTATCTGTCGGAATTCGCTTATCGAACCGATGCCAACGATCTGGATGAAAACGTATCTGTTCACGACGTAATGTAGACTTTATCTCGGAATCACTTTCAATTCCTGATAACAAAAATTCTTCGATATTTTTTCGCGTCAAATGAATTATGTCATCAACGGGCCATGGAATATCTGCGAACTCAATTGGGGATTCTCCTTTAACATCAAATTGACTCCAACGATTTAAGTATAAAGCGCGATTTTCATGTCTAAGACGAGCCTTCTTTTCCTGCTCACGTTTTAACCGCATTTCCTCTTCCGCTTTTAATTTGTCCATCATCTTTCGTTTTTCTTCATCTCTCTTTCTAAGTTTCTCTTCTCTTTTCCTTTGCTCCCTCAATTCTTGTTCGTGCTGCTTCTCATACATTCCTCTGCGAATGTAATTGGCATAATCCTCTTCTGACATATCATCAATCCCTGTTGCTACATATGAGCTGTCCTCTGCGTAAGACATTGATGAGAAGTCTTCATCGTCTTCAGCCATCACGTCAAAAAGATGTTCCAGCCACGACCTTTCTTCGGCGTGAACATATGACGAAGATACATGATCCTCATCAACTTTATCAGAGGTACATTTTTCAAATTCCTCTGATGAATGCTTTGAATTTTCGTAAGATTCTTGATCATGGTGATGTTTCTTGCTCTTATGAGATCTGTGAAAAGGATGATAGCGTTTGTGAGATTTTTTCTTTGATTTTCCCTTTGAACGATCTTTACTCTTAGATGGATATTTTTCATCTCTATCTAAATTATCATCCAAAGGGTTCTCATGTTGGGTAGGATAAGATCGTTCTCCATGTTCTCTTTCGGATAAGTTAAATGTCTGAGAAAAGGTTTGTTGTTGCATTATGACCGGATTTTCTACCAGAAATATACAATAGATAGTGAATTTAGTAGTTACACAGATCGGCGACGTATAGGTATATATATCTAGGTGATTTCGAACTGTTTCGATATTCACAATTATGCCTCGAACATGTGTTATTTGTAATAAAGAGCGAGCGAGTATTAAAAGGCCCAAAACAGGGCAACAAGTTTGTCGAGAATGTTTTTACTATGTATTTGAAACAGAAATACATAACACTATTGCAGATAACAAATTATTTAGCAAAGGAGATAAAGTCGCCATTGCAGCTTCTGGCGGAAAAGGTAATAAGTAATTGCTATGAATCAGTAGAGACAAAGAATTCTTTTGTCAACTTATCCTTTTACACTAAATAATATAATCTTCTGAAAATCATTCTCTAGATTCCACAGTGTTAGCGTATGTTATGAAACTATTGAACGAAAGATATCAATATGGACTAAATCTCTTTCTTTTGTCCATTGATGAAGGAATAACAGGATATCGGGATGATTCATTGGAGGTAATTCAAATATAATTTCAGATAAATTTGCACATTAGGATTCTTATCGCGTTACTAACCTTTGATTAATAGACAGTCAAAAGAAATCAACAACAATATGATCTGCCGCTAAAGATAATTTCATATAGCGAATTGTATGGATGGAGTATGGATCAAATTGTTAAAGAAGTCGGATTGAAAAATAATTGTAATATCTCAATAAATATATATTTCATAGATAATATATTTTATGGCAGATATTGAAAATTTTGTTTGCATCTGCAGGTACATTCTGTGGTGTATTTAGACGTCAAGCTTTGGATCGTGGAGCAGTATTGTTAGAAGTGGATCACATAATAACTGGGCACAATGCTGACGATATAGCGGAAACGGTTTTGATGAATAGTTTGTAATTTCATAAATTTGGTGGGATAATTTTCGGACATTCGCGCATATGTTTCAATGATCTATCATAATTAGTTTTGAGAGGCGATATTGCAAGGCTTCAAAGGTGCACGGAAATAAGTACAACTGGAGAGGGGTGTATACGAAGGTCAAAGCCTTTCAAGTATACTTACGAGAAAGAAATCGTCATGTAAGATGTTGCGATCGTGAGTCCTATTTTTTTATATCTGCAACATCCATTTTTAATACGAGGGAATTTTAATATTATTAGGTATGCCTATTTTAAAAAACTCGATTATTTTTCGACTGAATGTATATATTCACCAAATGCGTATCGAGGTCATGCACGCACTTTTTTGAAAGATTTGGAAGTAATAAGACCTAGTGCTATCATAGGTATCGCAACTCATCACAATGATATTTTGTGTTTAAACAAACTTTATTAATTACACAATTTCCATGTAAAGATATAATCCACTCGGGCGAGGCATTTGAGGTGAAACGAGAAGTAAAATTACCAGTCCAAGGAGTGTGCAAAAGATGCGGATACATGTCAAGCAATGAGCTATGTAAAGCGTGTGTGTTATTAGAAGGCTTAAATCGTGGTTTGCCCAAGTAAGTAGCTACTGCGTGCGCTCAGATGATGACCAATCACTGGAGGCTAATGATAATTTTTTTATTTAGGCTCGGTATTGGAAAGACTAATAGAATGGTATTTTCTGTAAAGTTTACTACTGATGAATGAATTATCAAAGTACTGTACTTATTTCTTTGAATAATTTTTTTTTTTTCAAATTACACGTAGCGTAAGAAACACGGAGATATGCCTAAAAACACAGCCACTATTCCGCAATTTTTGGAAAGTTCAGATGAAAAAAAAAGTGCGACTTCAATCGTCGAAGGAACTCTTCAATGATAGATGATAATGTAATTTATATCAATATTACTTAATATGTACTGTTTCAATGTACCTCTTTGTCCTCTTATTTGTGATCCTTGCTGAATTCTGTTCCGAAAATAAAAATAAATTGTGGGGTTCCATATTATCGTCATGAAATATTTCTGAGAACTAAATGCTAGGTTAGAATTTTCCAGAATATATGTACTGTATTTAAAGAATTGACATTTGTTAAGGAGCTAAGTAAAGACTTGTTAGATAGAGCACATATCATTTATTTATTTTCATTAATTTCATACACTGTATATACTTAGATACTTTTTATTTTAAAACGTTTTACTATTATTATTTTTTCTTTCTTACCCAATTTCTTAACTATTTACACTGAATTACTTTTGTGCACCTTTATTTTTAATATTTTGTAAATCATCAAGAAGCAATTTTAATTTTGAAATTTATTTAGTTATTGTTTTTTCTTTTTTTCAATAATAGATTTACAGTATTATCGACCAACATATTGTGCATAAAAAGTCTTGTTTGCAAACTTGAAAAATAAATAACATTCAAACTTATGATCAATGAGAAATTGTTGTTTAAAAGAATCAAAATTGCTAGATATGTTTATTTGCTAGGCATCCATGTTTCTAATTGATCGACGAAACATAACCCAGATTTGATCATCAAAGTGATAGACGTGTCATGATCAAAAAGGAAGTTAATAAAAACTATGATGAATAGATAAATCGGAAATGATTTACTCATGAAAATACTTACCAAATAAATAAACAATTAAACAATTCTTTAATGAAACCATTAAAAAATTTTCTGATGATATTTACTAAACTGTATTTTAAATAGTGTATGACTGACCAAATCCATTTCGTTGCCTTTCCACATGATGAATTCTCAAGCCTTCGCTATATTATCTATTTATGTAATAATCACCACACTATAAATTATAAGGATCTCACTTATACTATCTACAATTTCCAAAAATGATTAATAACTTTAAATTTAATGTCGGGTTCAAGTTCTGATGCCAAACTTAGGACATATCCATCGCGCCGCTCAATTCTCGTTCTAAATCTTCACTCATAGCAACTCCATGCATTGATGGAGGTGCCTGATAGTGATCTGCGGCAAGCGCATTTATATCACCACGTACTACCGTGGGAGAATTCAGGATAGTGTCACGGTCGGGAATTTTGGACAAACTGGATGATTTACCCCCAGTTGCGACACTAAGTTGAGGTACCTGATGACGTCGGACCAACGCACGGAAATCTGAGACTTCTTGCGCAATCATTACTGTTAATTTGATTTAATCAAGAAAAAAATTAATTATCACATTACCAAAGGAGGCTAACCGTTTTTCATTACTTTAAAACCATAGGCATTACCTCTCATTTGTTCAGGATCATCTACCGATTCAAATGAAAAATCGAATGGTTCGATGCAAGATGGCTACAATTTGGATCAACCAAGGTGAATTAATTAGTGGTAAATTAAATGATCGACGTCCGAATAAGTAGATTTCAAACCTCATCATTAGGATCGTGCCAAACTGCCAGGTATGGATGTTCTAATGCTTCTTCGACCGTTATGCGCTGAACGGGATCAAAAGTTAAAAGTCTTTCTAACAAATCAAGCGCTGCCATACAATAATATAACTGATTAACATTTGGTTCATTACTTTAGAGTTCCTACGAAATATATTGGGACTTACCCAAGTGATTGGCATTAGGAAATAATTGTTTAAAAGTCTTCTTATGCATATAGGGTAAGTTACGGATATATTCCTGCGCCTGAAATAAGCAAAGAGCAAAATTAAAGCAATTTGATATATTTATATATATATATAATTTGATCAGTTTGAGATCTAATTGTAATTTACCCTTGGACTTCCTATTCTCGTTAAGGTGGCATCACTAGGCGTTCCCAAGGTTTGAAGGATTTGGTTTAACTGGTCAACATCTTTATCAAAATTCTGCTCGTCAAGGAAACAATTATTCACAGTGAATCTTAGCAATTGACGCACCACAACATCTACCCGATTAAATAAAAAAGGATACAATCTCTTCCTTTAAATAAGGGTCTGCCACCTAACAACTCTGCTAAGATGCACCCCACGGACCATAAGTCAACTAATGGAATCAAGGAAGAATTAAACATTGAATCTCATATCTAAGGATAAGTTTAAAAATATAATTTGCAACACTTACTGGCTTTTGTATAGCTTTGAAAACTGAGCATGATTTCAGGGGCTCGATACCATCTGGTAGCAACATATTCAGTCATGAAACCAGAATTTGCCGCGGGATCCTCCGAGAATCCCCGAGCAAGCCCAAAATCGCAGATCTTAAGCTCGCAATCGGCATTTACAAGGAGATTTCCTACATGAGTCCAAGGAACTTTTAGTTTTATGTTTCTTCCACTCTGTGTTTCTAATTTCATATACGATTTATTCTTTCTGAAATCAACAACGCTTTCGCTCATTAGTTGAACTAACCAGGTTTTAAATCTCTATGCAACACGTTTGCTGAGTGAATGTATTTTAATCCGCTTAAGATCTGATAAGTAAAACTCTGATAGTGAGCGTCTGTGAGTGGTTGTCCGGAACGAATGATTGCATGAAGATCGGCTTCCATCAATTCCTCGTAAAGATATCTTGACGGTTAAAAATGCATAAGGTAATTGTCAGGAAAATTTTAAACAGGAAATGAATCCAAAGAAATAACACATTACATTTCATTGTAATCAGTTGGATTGATAATATCCATGTCGTAAAGACACGTGATCTAAAGGGACAAAGTTTATTGATAAAAAATAACAAAAACGCTACGCGTTTGCTCTCTTGCAATGCGTATGGAGCAAAAGTAAGTTTTAGGATAATCCTTACATTTTTATGTCCTCTGAAGTGTTGTAGCAATTTCACTTCACGCAAAGCGCGTTTTGTAAGAATAGTTTTGTTGAAAACATTGGTAACCTTCTTAATTGCGACACCTTCTCCAGTCTGTGTGTTACGTGCAGCGCTGAAATGGTGAAAGAGGAAATACGATTGGAAGCGATGGGTTGAATTGGTGCAAACATGTATATAAAATAAGAGAATAACATATGTGAATACGGAACGATACTTTCGAAGAGAGGTATCATTTGTAAGTTATTGATGACGGCCGCTTTGTACAAGCGCATTCGAAGGGAAAAAAGGAACACGAGCTTACCACACGACTCCATATGCTCCCTGTCCGAGCTCTCGAATAAACTGATATTTTTCATCCACAAGGAATTGTTGATTCAGAACGGGGAAAGAATGCCTCACCATGTTTCTCTGTCTTCGGCTTTCCGCTCAACCTGTCGAATCATCAAAAAATTTGTGTATATGAATTTAATGCAACATTGTGTAACTGTATACAAGACCGAATTCAGCAAATTTTGAGAATGTACTACATTCTTGCATTTCGTATCACACGCATAATGACGCGAGCTCACGATTTTTTTTATTACGTAAATTATATATTTTTTTATGTAACAAATGCTAACCAAAATTGGAAAAAAAAATATTATGTTCTGATACATCATGCGCACATCCTAGACCTCTACGTTTAACGATGCTTTCAGAGACGTCTCTAACTAAAAATTGGCTAAAGATAAAGCTCCAAAACATAAAAAGAATCACCGGCCTCCAATTCTCTGACGATGTTCTGATTTCAATATTGATTTGTTTAATCTCTGGAGACAAGCACTTGATATTAACATGTAAACAAGAAAACACCGACGAACTTCGAACAATGCTCGAACAGGTATCAGGTGTACCTTATTTATTGCACATTACCGTTTCCTTATTAATGATATTAATAATAAATTCTTGGCATGTTGACTTGGTTTCAGATTTTTCACCACATTTTCGGATTAACCTGTTCCACCGTTACTTGTGATCCATCACAAACAACTGCCGATTTTATAACCAATCTCTTCAGCAGACCAAAAGATGATAATAATGCTTTTGCTGGATACGCCGAGGACGTGTCGAATCGGTTGAAACCACAAAAGTCAATCAAATCATTTAAGACAGTAAGCTCGACGAAATCCACCGAACGAAAACTTTCTTACGATATCAAAAGGCTAAAGCGTCGATCAAACATCTCAAACTTAACTGATGATTCGCATTTGCTTTCAAGTGTTTATAACGACAACATGGAACCATCAATAGCTGATTCAGGAGAGTCCAACATTCAGAAGGTAAGCTCATTCACAAATTTTTCTTCTATATCCGTGTTTAATACCATTTCATTGATGCTTATCGAAATAGTCCAGGGAACGTGTTCGAACTGCTGACAGTGTAAAGGATTCACCATTTGTATCTGCCAGGCCACCGAGCCCTCAAATACACTGGAAGAACATTACAACAAGTCAACCCATAGATATTCCTGACAGACCTTCGTCGCGTCCAAGTCTCAGCATCAACACGACTGGATTTTCAGGGTCACCTCGAAAAAATATGTATCACCCGCATTTTGTTCCACAGTCCCAATCTCCGGCCACGCCAAGTGATTATGCTTTTTCCAAGAAAAAACATGAGAGTGTTGCCACAAGCAGTTATGAACCACATTCACCTTACATTATGCACTCTCGAAAATTGGCACAAGTAGCAATAATTGAATATTTAACTGATGCAAACGAAATTATACATGCATTCATAATGGAAGAGGTTAATATACTTATTTCCACTTTTTTTTTTTTATAATTAATAGAAATTTGTCAATTTACGTTTCTTTCTTTACAGATTCTAGTAAAAAAGCAAATCATTGACAAATCGACCACATATAATTTACCAACACCATTTATTCTAATTGCTTTGTTGCCGGCAACATCCTCGAAACCAAATTTACCCAATTACTTGGTAAGTTAATAATAATGTGTTCAATAGGCTTTTGTTTAATCGCACTGAAACTCATCATAAATGCTGTTATTCTCAAGATCGATAGGTTTTTCATTAGTTATACCTACGAGGGGATGCCCGGAGTTGGAAAATATCCAATTACACCCAGTCGCAAAAACTCGGTGATAAAACCAACGGTATTCGAATCATATATTTCTCAAGGGTTTCATTTAACCAAGATCTAAATATGGTTTTCTTCTTTTCAAGGAAATTGAAGAGTTATCAAAAAAGATGGATCAAGTTACGGTACATAACGACATGCAACGTTACATAAGGGATGTGGTGGTCGGACTACGTACACATCGTTTAGTCAAAGGTGGCTTAACCGCTCGGGCGTCAAGTGACTTTGTAACACTCGTCAAGTAGGTTTTTTTCTTTTTTAATCTTTTCTAACTCGATAATTGAACAACATGGATCGCGTCAACGACCTTGTGTTATTAACTTATTTAGAGCTTTAGCTGCCATATTTCAGCGTAGTTATGCAACCCCAGAGCTTGTATTATTTGCTAGTGAAAAAGTATTTTCACACCGGTTAATATTAAGAGAGTTCAATGACGACAAAAGCACTATGTACGGAACAAACATGACGACACTATTAAAAGCCCGAAGTCTTGCACCAAAGATCCCGACGTCTAGCGATGTCGTTGCAGATGTCTTGCAAGCAGTTTGGCCTCCTGTCTGATTTATATCGATGAAGGCAAATAATATCTTTACTACTAACAAGTGTGGGAGGGAGCAGCAGATCTTTGGACAGTGATTCACTTAATTTTTCTGTACAGTAATATCAACATTCAATCACATGCATTCTCATATACAACATTAATAATCTAATTGTTGAAAAAATAATAGACGACAGGACATTGATAGAATTCATAATAATTCCCATTACCGATACTATTTAATCTGCGATTAATCGAGCTCTTTGTTCAGAAAATAATACTTAATCGGAATTTACAAAAATGTAACCACAAACTATTAATCGACGATAGAGTTGGAGTTTGCTTATGCTTTATTCAACTAATAAATAAACTTCTCAAGTGTGACTTATAATTTATTTTTTATTATAAAAAATTCATAATAATTATTTCACACTTATTAAATAAAAAATAATACAGTTTTTTCATTCAGTATAATCTAGTTTATAGAAATAATTACTATATTCAGTATTTGATTAATTTTAATTTAGTTAAATATTATATACAGTATATCAATAAACAAAATCATAATTCATTAATATGCCAATCTAATTTATTTAAAACTTTTTTAATTCAACCATGACAACATAAAAAAAATTATCATTATTTTTTTTTAAAAATGCAATCAATGAGGCGATACAAAGTTGATTAATATATTCCAACCGAGATGGTAAACTGTGCATACAGTATAAAGCATATATTTTAATTTTATTTTAATCCATCATAAAATTCTTTTATTAAATATATAAATTTATTTTTTTGATTATACAAAGAAATTTATCATCACCATTCTATTTTCACTTGCAATATTTTTGTAAAACAAGAACATTGTTATTATTAATAACATAATATAAAAATTTTTTTAAAAAATTTTACATTTATTTTTTTTTTAAAAAATAGATAAATATAGTTTCTTTTTTTCTTTATTTATTACAAATATATATTTAAGAATAAAATAATATTTATCATACATTTGCAATAGATTAAATATTAGTTTGTTTATAATAATTGTTTAATTTATATTAAAAAAGAATTTTAAATTATTATGACCATTAAATGATATTAAATATTTATAAATATTTATTTAGTATTAAAAAAAATATAATAATTCAAAAAAATAAAATTTATAATTTATTATATATAGACTTAAACTGTTATAAAAATAAACTTGTAAATAATAAAAAAATTTTTTTTTATTTATTTTCATCTTATTAAAAAACTTTTTTTTTTGAAAATTTTTTCTTTTTCTTCTTCTATTAAAAATAAAATCTTGTAATAAATTGAGTCTAAAATATATTAATATTATACAAGGTTTCTTTAACTATTAGATATTATCATTCAAGAAACATATACATATATAATATTGATTAATACATTTGAAGAAATATTTTGTCTAAAGAAGTATAAGCAAATTATTTCCAATATATATTAGTAGTCTAAAACAAAAATAAAAAAATTTTTGAAGTTAGCTAATTTTTTTTTACAAGATTTTATATATATCTAATAATAGCAAACTTGAAAGCAATTACTTTTATTTTCTTTTTTCTTTTTTCTTAAATTTCTTTTCCTGCTAATAAATAGTTTTTTCTTTTTTTTAATAATTTTTTTTCTAGATCTTTTTTTTTCTTATATTTATTTTATCAATTTTCTGATTCGTTATTACTTTATTTTTGTTAAATTGTTATTTTTATCTAAGTTAAAGACTTTTTAAATAAGAAGTATAAGCTTTTTATAAAATTTTTTTTCTTATTTTAATGAACTTAATTTAAAAAAAATTAAGATAATATTTCTTTAATTGAAAAATTAAAGTATAAAAGAGATAAATTATTACTTTATCAGAATTTTAAATATATATTTTTATAATAAGTAATTATATATTAAGTTAATTAAATAAAAAAAAAAGGTTGTTGAAGATAATAATTCAATTAACAATATTAATCATATAAGAATTTGCTTTGCCAAAAGTTTAAATTGCTAAACAAAATATTAAAAACATACAATTATTAGCAATTCTATTTTGAATATTTAATAAAATTATTATTTTATTATTATTCAAAAAAAATAATTATAAAACTGCTTTTTTATTTTACTTAACTTTTAAATTTTCAAATTAAAAAATCATAAACAATTTATTTTTATTAAAAAATTAATGTAAAATAATTATATTATATTGGTATCTGGATTACTAATATAAATAAAACTATTAATTCTAATTTATATTCTTTTTGATCATATAATTATACAGGTTCAGGCTATTATTTAAAACTTAAATATTATATTACCTTTTTACTATCAATACTTATAAAGTATATATATATAATTAATAATTTACTAATAACTAGTAATTGTTTATTTTATTGTTTATTTTTTTTTATTTGAATTTTTAAGGTCTTGTATATATTAAATTATAAATTTTAATAAACTTTATTTAATTTATAATTTACTTTGTAAAAATTATTATTATTATCTTTTTTTAATTTTAATTTTTTTTTTAAGTTGTAAACTGATATTAGATATATGACATTTTTATTAATATAAGTTATTGTCAATACATCAGATGTCCACTCCACTTATTGATAATATTAACATTACATTATCTGGCTATTGATAGCTAGTATGCTTACCATATTTATACAACTTTAATATACTTGGCTATACAAAATTTTAAACATCAAGTATGTAACAATACAAATAGTGAAAGGAGTGCCACAATATATGTCACACAAGTGGCACAGACAAGCCAATAGAAGGAGCATTGCAATTGGAATACA